TTGTCACAATCCTTCTTTGTAAATTATGGCTTTTTTGTTTATAATAATAAACTCATCAAAATATTTAATTCTAAATTGGCAGTTCTATTCTATGATCTCATTAATGCATCAGACCTAGTTGAAGAAAGTTACTTGAGTGATCTGTGCTGAAGTGCTAAAGGTTTTCTTTTTCTCTTTCTTTTTCTTTTTTTTTAAAGTTTGACACGAGTTCACAGCAGCCAGTTACATAGACCTTTGTGTCCTACATTCCTTGCACTATGGCTGCTAATTCATCTAATACCACATAGGGACCTACATAGCCTGGACTTATTTCCCCATTTAATATCTCACAATGGAAAAGAAAAGGCAAAAAAGTTTTCTAATTCTTCCCATGTGGAAGATGGGCCAAATAAGGCCTTTGAAATTCAGTTCTAGAGAAGATCTACATTGCTCTCCCTCCTACTGCTCCTTTCAAAGACACTTTCAAAGCAAAGTAGATCCACATTTAAGAGTCCTGCTTTCCTCTTGACTGACTTCAGGCTAGTATAATAGAGTTAAACCTCTATGCTCCTTTTTATCTGGAAAGGTAAAAACAAATTATGTCAAATATTCTGCCAATAAAGATTGACTTTCCTCCACAGAAATGTGAGGTTAGTGAATTTCATTGTTCAATAAACAATAAAATTGTTTAACATTTTGATCAGTTAATTATCTTAGAAATAAAGTGTCTTTAAGGTTTTGGAACAAGGTTAATGAGGCAGTTCCCTTTGAGCATAATTTATGAACGATGCCACTGTTGTTTTTTGGCAATATAGATAATTTAAATAATATGACCTTGAATGTTAAATATGACTATTTGCTTTTTATATGTACTATCTCTGCTTTTAACATTTACACTGTGAAATCTTTTGGCACATTTATCATGCTCATGTTCGTTTTTAGTTGCTTGTAATTCACACATTCACTTTCATAATAAGAAAAAAGTTTTTCACATTTGACATCTATAATTAATTGCAGTTTAAGCAATGACTTTCAAATACATAGAAGATCCTGGCAAAATCATTTCCCTCTGGGAGCAGGATAGAGTAGTGGTTAGATGTATAATCTCTCAAGTAGACTGCCTGGGTTTGAATCCTGAGTATGCCACTTAGTGCAAGCTGTAAGAACAGGTTATTTAACCTGGGGTGGTAATAGTGCTTCAAGACTATTAGATAAGGTATGTATTTAAATCCATAATATCCTGAATTAAAAAAATATAAAAATAAGTAAATCATGTAGCATTTGGCAGATAATAAGCATTGTATAAGTTTTAGTAAATGTTATTTCAAACATATGGATCATTTTGAGCTAGTGACATTATGAAATGATTTTAACTTTTGAGGTATTTTACTCTTAGTTTCAATTAATTGGAAAATATGAAGTGATTGACTAATTAATAGTATGAGTAATTTGCGAGTTGTATTATTGAGGTTTTTCTGTAGAATAAAATAAATCCTTTTCTTTGAAAAGCAATTTCTTTGAAGAATAATGTCATTAAATACAATGGAACATGTTTTCACCTTTTAAAAATAACTCCCATTGGTCCTGCCTTTGTGTCTAAAGATCTGCTATTTAATATTTATTTTATATTTTAGCCATATTTTATTGTCACTTCATAATTTATTCCCTTTCTACTCATATCTTTCCTTCCAAATAGTTGATAAGTATATTGAATTGTTTACTTTAGGCTTGAGATATATATATATATATATATATACACACACACACACACACTATTCAGACCATGGTAATTATCATATCCATCATCTCAAATATTTATCATTTCTTTGTGTTGAAAACATTCGATATCCTCCTACCAGCTATTTGAAATGGTATAATATGATATTGTTAACTATAGTC